GAGGTTGAGGGTCGGAGGCTGCCGCCGCCGTGGAGACGACGGAACCCGGTGCCGCGGGAGGGGTAAGCGAAGGGGGTACAGGGGCAGGGACGTATCTACTCGCAGGGGGTCGACGGGGCCCGCGCCCAGGAGGCGTCTATAAATTTCTAAACTTAATAAATACCTAATGGCCAGACCTGCTTTGTAGCATAGCGCTCTGTGGATTTTACTTTACTGTAAAGGTAGCGAAACTCTTCCACCTCCATCTCGCTCGCTACCTCTCTCACCCCGTTCGCTTCGTCGTCTCCTCTTTTTCGTTCTTTCGCTCAACCTTGGGTTTCTCGATATCCTGAAACTTTCACGAACGAAATTTCGTACGGCCGTACGTATCTTTTCGTCGCGCGGTACTCGACCCGTGTACGTGAGAGAGGAGCGGTACGTCTAGGAAACGTGGATCGCGAGCCGAACGCTCGTTAATACGATTCAGACGTGGGTCAAAAAGAAACGGCGTCGCTCCCCGCTTTGAACCTTTAAAAGATCTGTCGCGACCGCCGTAACGATGTCATATTTCCTTTGGGTGAAAAAGCGGAAAAATGCTAAACGCGCGGGGGCCTTCCGTCCACCTTGACTCTCGGGAGTAGGGTCAATAAAAATCAGGCGAGCGCGAATGAAGAAGAAGAAGAAGAAGAAGAAGAAGGAAAGGAACATTAGTTGGCATTATCGCAACAACCGAGGCACGGTCGAATTCCTGGAAAAAGAATGCAGGCACCGTAGCATGTATTACGATACTACACGGAGCACGGACTCCCATTGTTGCACCGAGTAATATAAACAATTGGCCCTGTCCATCTCCCGGTTTCCGGCCGTCACTCGGAAGCCCCGACATTTTTATGGATCGCGGCTCCGTGCCCACCCGCTTCCTCCTCTCTCTCTCTCTCCTCGGCTGCCTGCGCGGCCGACTGCCTACCACGAGTTTCTTCTTTCTTAAGACCTCCGCGAGCCTGAATATTAATGCGATTCTCAGTTTACATATTCCCCTCCACCCACGGCGTGTATCCGAACCGCACGACAAAATCCGCCGAGATTTCGAACTCCGGGGCTCGCTTTAATCGAATCTCGTTATTCATTATTCACCGATTCCTAAAAACCTTCAGGAAATTAGTCGAGAGTCAACGCTCGTTCCAATTCTCTCTTTCCTCGTTTCGACTAAATCTCAATCGTTTACTCGTTGCATTATAAATACGCCGTGAGTTTTCATACAAGATAGAACGTCCGTAATATCGATGAAGAAATACATAGAATCGTACCGTTCTACAGATACAATTTTTCTATAAACGCGGACCCGGTATAAAAATGTCCAAGCCGAAGTTTATGGAATGAATAAATATAAAAACTCGCTAGGCGAGCCGATAAGTTCTAATATTCGATTCAGTTTCCTCGTAGTTTATTCTTATTAGATGGAATTCGCGGACGTTAATAAATTGTAGAGAGACTCGAAGGAGAACAAAAAAACAGCGTGCCTCGAGCGAGGTGGAAAAACGACTAAACAAGCAGGAAAGGAATTATTCCCAGTCTTGAATTTCACATTTTTCTTCCCAGCATCCACTCTCCCGATGGTATCTAGCACTGTGAACAAGGACTAGGCGAGCCTCGCTCGAGCTAACTACCATAATTAATTTAACAATACATATTAAAGCAACCTTGCGATATTGCTTGGCCGATATCTATTTCCCACATCTATGAATATATCAATAGAAATCCGCCAGCTGTTTCCAACAAATTTATTACGTATCTATGCTCTAACGTATGCTAAACCGTATAAATATTCTGCGACCGTGTCGCGGTACACTTTTTTTACGTCGCAACTTGTGCAACGTTACGGTAATTGCATGCACCCCCGTTCATAAATGATTTAAACGATGTCCCGTGGCAAATTTTCCTGGAAATTATTTCTATATATTTCGAAACTATTCATGATTCTATTATCGCGTGATCAACATTAATTTTGTGAGACAATCAGCAGTCGAAAGTCCTCCGAGTCGGAGGGCGTACTTTGCCCTATTGTTGTTAACTATTACGGAGTGGGTGGCAGTTTAATTACAAAGTACAGGCTAACACATATCCATTTGCGGGTGATACGGTGCTCCCGGTAAACGCGTGTGTGTTCGACGATAATTAATTCCCGGTTCCGCAACCCGTTCGAGGACACGTAACGCGGAACGCTCTATCGAAAGATCTCTTCCCATCTCGTCCATCGCAAATCGAAGCTGCGGTATCGATCTACGGAACAGGCGCGTTCGTTCCCCGGATACCTCTCCAAGGTTTCGTCTCGGACAGCCTAAAATGTAGAATGCGCGTACGCCTCGGCAGCCCGACGGCATGTAATCCACCCTCGCCAAATTTATACCGGGTGTACCATTTCACCATCGACGTAGATTTTTAACGTTCGCGGTTTTATTAAAATGCATATATGAAAATGCATTTGCAATGTGAATTCGACCAATGCGGTTGTACCAACTATCGTAACGACCATTATACGAAACGTAATATCAATTATTACATGAATCATCGAATAAGAAAAAATTCTTTGAGTATTTCGAAGGTTGGTCGGATCGTTGGAATCTGGATTGATTTATCGACGATCGAGGGGTGGAGGCGGGAAAAACGGGTTTCGATCCGCGATCTCCGGTGTTTTCTTTTAGTCCGGTCGTTCCCGCGGCTACGAGTCAATCACGGAGTATACACGGGTATACGCGCATTGCCGTGGAACAGGCTGCGGCATACATTAATCACCGATGCTAATGGTATCATAGCTAGCATAGCTGTTTCGTACACCCTCGAATACGGCGAATACGGCGGATGGAAAAAGAGAGACGGAACGAACCACATAAAACGGGTGCGTGCACCCGACCGGACCTTTCCTTCGCGCTTATTGGCTTTAAATAAATTATGGATAATTGAAACGGTCCCCGCAACAAATTCATTTCGCGGTCTCTTATAAGTAGCTTGCCCATTTCTATGTAGAACATCGTTCTTCAAAAACTAATTCTACATCTCTTTTATTCATTAGAAGTAATTATCTACATTCTAGTCGTCGTTCTGTTGTATATTTTGCAAGACTCTTACTTATTCTTTCACGTTACACGCATTCTTTATTCTCTGTAAATCTATTCTTCTGTAATCTGTAAATCAGACCTTTATATAAACGCATCGGATCTGTGATCTACTTAGAAACTCAATAGAAGATGGAAATTGGACACTTTTCATCTGAACGGGAACGGTCTTTGTTTCGGTTCGGGTTCTGATTTGGAGAGGCAACACGAGGGGGAATGAGTTGTAAAATCTTGAGCGCAAACATTTTGAAGAATCCTGGTCGATGGGGGAGAGAACGCGTGTATGGGTGAGGGAAATGGACAAGAGAAGAGAAAGTCAGAAGGGCGCAATGGCTGCTCTCTCGAGGGGTGGAACGTTCCGTGTTTCGAGGAGGCACGGGCAGAGATGGATGCGGAGGTGGTTGCAGAGGCGGACTCGCGGGGGGATTGTAGGAGGTTGTACGATGAGGAAGGTAGCGACGGAGGTGGTGGTGGCGGCGAACGAAGAGAAGGGAACGGGGTTCGTCCTATCAATCACGGTATTATTATCGAGTCCGTGATTAGCAAGGCATGCTAACGATATCTCTGGCCGGAGGCAGAGGGCAACGCTAGGCCGTTGTGCTTTCGCGTACGCTCGCTCCCGTGTGCTCGCTCGCCTGCGCGCGTGCGTGTGTCTATGTGTGTACGCATCGTTCGCTTCGATGCGTGGCCGCTCGTGTGGGTGAATGCGTGTGCCGCGCGCGTATTTCTCTGTACGGCAGCGTACGAGGCTAGGCACGGCGCGTTGTGTGCGGATTGGTGTTGGCCGCAATGCAACTGGAGTGGCCGCGATGCGATTCCAGAGTAGTACGGAGTGTACCGTGTATACTGCCGTTGCTGACGCTGATGCTAGTGGTGGTGATTTCAACGACGATGGTGGAGGAGCCCGGGATGGGAAGGGAGGGAAAGGGAAACGAGTGGGCCGGGGAGGAACGGAGAAAGCGGAGCCTGACCAGCTAGGGAGCAAGGCAAATGGATAACGATGAGCCGTTGCTACTAGTATATACCTTGCTTACCTGCCTAGCTGCCGTCTGCCCGCTGCTGGCTACTAACTATACCGCTACTAGTTTCGCTACCACCCTACCAGCTAGGACGTCGCCGTTCCGTTCCATTGCTTACCGCGCCATTTACATTCTGACGAGATTGTCGAATTTCGAACGATTCAACAATTCCTTCTTCTCGTACAGTAAATCGTTCTCCAGTTATTTATATATAAACGATGGGGTAGGAAAATCTCATGCGAGACATTGATTGAAGTTCAAGTTTCAACCGAGGGAATTTAAAAGAGTGGCGGTCCAGTTTCGGAGTCGCAGGGAATCCAGACAATAGTAGTCAGACGTAGCTTACGTTTACGACGCTACGTATCGATTCGGAGTATAGTTTTTGAAATAACGTAACACGTGGAAATTACGAAGAGTATGATGTCTTTTTTTATAATTAACGATTTTATAGCATTTCTACAAACGCCGAAACGATACATTTATTATTAATACAGAAATTTCTATTCCTATACTGAAGTATGCTACCGTTCCTCGCACTACGTGACTATTCGAACGTGGTCCGGTCTACTCGCCGGTTGTAACGTAAGTGCATGGAACGAGGGATCGAGGGACGGTGGGGTAAGATCGATGATCAAAATGGAGTGTGAAATCTCTCATCGATGGGTGTAATGATCGTTCCCGGACTCGCTCTTGGTCGGTCGGTCGGTTGGTTGGTCGGTCGGGCCTGTCTCTGGCGTGCGGCCGATATTCGGGTTATACGGATCGCTCGCAATGCGATTCGCGGCTAAACGCGTTACGGGGAACGTAATTTAGTCCCGGTTGCATAGCCCGTCGTGTTCGTGCGCGCGTGTGCAACCTCGGCAATGTGTTTTTCCCGTGTACGTGCACGTACCCTCTCTTTCCTTCGCGCACGGCTACGTTCTCGCTCCCGCAAACCCTCTTCCGCGTCGGTATAATATTCGCGAATGCACAGGGAGTCAACGCGGCGGCCGAATTCACGAGGGACGGTGGCACGCGGGGCGGGGTGCAGGGTGTCGCACAGGCGGCAGGTAATGATATTTCGCGCCCATTATGAAATATTCGAAATGATTTGCCGGGATTGTGCATTTTGATTTGACGTACATATCCGCGTAACGCGCGCTGATCCTCGCGCGACATCCTCGGCCTGCCGATCGGTCCAACGCCAGCCCTCTTTCATTCCACCTTTACTCCATTATTTTTTTCCTCTATCGTTCATACCACGAGTTTCAAACCATAAAACAAATAAAATTGAAGCGATCCTTTAGTGCATCCTTTTAGTGGAACAAAATTCGACCGTTGAGACCTTTTTAATTCTTTTTTTTTAATCATTATTCATTTGTTATTAATTTGCAACGGGTAATGGGTTAAGGTCGAGCAAGTAGCAAGTTTGCATTTATGTTCAAAACGTTCGATGAGATCTGGTGAAATACTAATCCCCGGTGTATCGTTAATACCGTATTTGATACGCGAGAACAAGGCAATAAATATTTAAAGTGCTAAAACATATATATAATGATAATGTCATTATACTGCAATTCACCTGTGGATAGCAACTAATTTAAATTGCAATTTCGTGCATAGGATATCGTCCTCTTCAACTTTTAAAGACAGTTGACCCCATGATATAAATTAATTGTCTTTTCGGTTCATCAGAAGATTTTATATCGAAGCTCGACGAATCATGTTTTGACAAATCGCGATTCTTATCGATTCACCCTGTTAATGTCAACGTAATTATACTGTGATACACGGGAATGTAACTAATGTAATGTATAATTAGTTGCATACAGAATTCAGCTTTAACATGTATAAATGTTTATGATTGCTCGTTGGGCATTTATGATTTAAGAATTTGTTCGTACGCAAGGTGGAGACGAGCTCGCGAAGCCGACGGGGAAGCGTAAAAGTCGTGATTCGATAATCAGAATTAGAGTAGCGAACGGGATGGGGAGAACGAGCGAAAGGGGTGAAGACAAGCTAGAGAGAATAGATCGGAGGTAGTTGGTTTAAATTCGCTTCTGGTACCACAAACATGCATAATGCAGCCAGGCGGCGCGTGTAAACGCGTGAACGCCGGGCGGTGCCAACCGCTAAATACAAAAATCCCCAACCACCTGTGAAGCGAGCCGCGCCGCGTCCGGTGTGCCCGCCGGTGGGTGTGCGTGCGTTTCCTGTTCCTGTGTTTTTGTTGTCGGTGTACCGCTCGCGTATCGCCGAGAGGTGAGTGTGCGCGCGGTACGCTTCCAAGTTAATTACAGCATAATTGCGGTCGACATTTTGTTGTTCGTCGCAGTTGTCGGCCGGCTGACCCGTGGATCGCTTTCGGATTTTCGCGCTCGCCAAATTCTTGCGATATCACGCGCGCTTATTAGCATTGCCCGTCGCGATTTACCGATTTCGAGCCGGCCTCCCAAATTATTCCCGCCATATTCCATACTTGCATTCCTTTTTTTTCTCCCATCGATACCGTAGACCGGGACCGGGTCCAATGACTTCTCCCTGGGGGTCACGCGTTTCCACAATTAAAACGATCACAGTCGATTCTCTCCGTCCTGCCTCCTAACTTCAAATTCAACGTATCCTTTTATCGTACGAATCTATTCGTCTGGTCTCGAGCGAAGTTTGTCAGGGAATCGCGTTCGAAGAGGGCCCGTAGCGAAAAACGTTGAGAACCCTACACGCTCCCCTGTGATCGCGCTGTACGAATTACCGCGCGCAGCCTCCGGTGCGCGACTTTTCCTTTGTCGCGTAACCGCGAAACGCAAGATTCGAGAGATGCTCGAAGCGGGATCGAGCGAACGGCGTCGCGGTCGAGGTCGAAGTACCCTTTCGGATGCTTGGCAAGACCGGATGATGCGTGGAACGATACACACGGCGGAGGAACAGACGCGAGAAAAGAAGGGAGGCGGAGAGAAACGCGGAAGAGAAAGCATATGCGAGAAGATAATGGGTGAAAGGGCCGGGGGAACAGGGGCGGGGGGAGGCGGGGAGGGCTGCAGACGGGAGGCTCGTCGAGAGAAAGACGAGTAGAGATGGAAACGAGGAGGAGGTGTAGATGGGCACAAAAGCACGAGATATTCAACCCTATCGGATCGTATATATCTGGCGCACCCTCCCACCCCATAAATTGATGCCAATGTACCTACGTGGCCCCGGCACGTTATACGTCTGAATATTACGCACACTCGGCCCTATGGACATCGGGGGGGTGGCGAGAGGGTGGCCGCGGGTGGGACTAGGGTAACAGGGAGCAGGAGGAAGAGGAACAGGAAGAGGAAGGAGGGAGAGAAGGTAGAGGAGGATGAGAGGTCGAGGAGGGGTGCAACAGCCAGCAGCCGCGTACCTACACGAGTCGCGCACCATACCTCGGTTATACCGTATAGAACACAATTAAGTAAATGAGCACGGGTTGCGCGCGCTATAGATACCCTCTATTATGTGTATTGATCTCTAGCACGGACTCCAGTTATACGTAATACGTGTTTTGTCATTTGCGCGTTCGTACGTATCTGCCGATCCGACCTGCCCCCGTCCCTACGTCGGCCATCCGCCCCCCTATTTTTTTTTCCTGCGCGAGCGTGCAAGTGCACGGAACGAACCTTTTGAGGATCGAACCAAATCACGGGCAACCGATACGCCTGCTTTGCGTTACGCAATGCAGCGCTCTACTTATTCTCTGCTGCCTCCGGGATCCGCGTGGATTGGCAACGAGAACGGGATTGTACTCGGTTTTCGGAAACTCCAGTCATCCCTCTTCCGAACCAGAGATAATTTGCCTTCGTTCCCTCTCTCAATACGATTCTTCCAGTTACGCACTATTGTTCCTTGCCTGACAGCTAGCTCGTAACTCTCGTCAGACATCGTAAAACGCACCAATGAGACTCTACAAGAATATCAAGGAGCCAATTAAAATTTGTAATATTTTATTGAAATTATTCATGAGATCCTCGACGATTTTGAAATACTCGCCAGGCTTTTCAATATACGATTGCCAGCGTCTTAATGAATGAAACATTGCCAAGTCTCGATTTTCTATCGGTTCATTCGAACAATTTGTTGCGTTGTTTCTTGCCAGCGGATCGATGCGTGCATTGTACACGGTATAGCCAACGCGACCCGTCAACAGGAAACGGGAAGATAGTTATCTAGCGGCTAGGTAAAAACGGCGAGAGGGGCGGAGAGTGGTGCGACCGCGCGTAGACGCCATAGTTATTTATTTTCCCGAGGCTGATTATAATATTACGCAAGCCCGCCGGTATGCGTAATGCGGATGCAAATGCGGACGGAGGATCTAGCCGCGGCGACTCGGCAAATCTTCGAACCGTATTTTATTCATAAGCCCTGTCCACCTGCTCGTCGGAGATCGACTCGGCTCGATTCGACGATAATACATTCGCGGTTCAAACGGAGTCGAGAAAGACGAAGGGACCGGGCGAAAGAGGAACAACGGAGCCACGCATCGGCAAAAACAGAATCTCCGGCCACGTTCCGCGACACGTGACGACGGTAAAAGGCATTATGCATTCTAAGGTTCGTTCGATCCCGATTAGAAACGTGCAAAACGATCCTCGATAGGATCACGAAAAAGATGCCTGACGAATATCAATTACGAAAATCGAAATGCATTTTTTAAACTGATCTCATGAACGTGTCGTTTTGGATAAGAATCAGCGATTCGCACGATCTCGAGATATTCGGAGTCCGTTCACGAACAAAACGCGTCCGTAGGACCCGGCGAAGCGTGTCACGCGGAAGGGGGAAACGAATTTCGCGTCGGAAGTATAGTCGAACATTTATGTAAATTTCGCGGCGGAGCGATGCAACCAAGATGCAACCGAAGCTAATAACGGAAACGCAGCCTCGTAAAAATGAGAGTTAATTTATGCCGGCCGGGAGTATCTGTTACCTCGACGGAACACGCGTTACAAGTATTATGCAGAGCGAATCAATAAGAATAATCGTATGAAATAATTCATCCTTTCCCGTATACATTAAAAGATATGGTATATGAATTCTGTATTTGCCGAAGCTCGTTGAATTAATGCGTCCTATTCTTCGGGAACGGTGCCAATGTTTTTTTAATAGAATCGCTAAACATTAGATTATTTCGAATAACAATTTTTATTACGATGTTGATTCACCTCGTATTGAAATACGATGTATAATTTTGCCGTCGCGCATTATGCGTGGATCGCGCGATCCACGCATCTAATTCGATACGTAGACGGATAAAGATATTATTCTTTTGCCTACGTAACGTCGATTCCTTTAATGACGGGAACTCGGACTCGGCGTCACGAGAAAATCTTGCTTAATTCGTACATTGCATGGAATACCGGTTATAACGATAAAGACATTATACTTACTATTACGGGCGGCCGGCCGCGTAGAACCGCATCATGAAAGAGCGCTATCGTGTACCGATTTCCTTCGGAACTTGTGTACGTCCCAGGCGTATTCGCAAACAGTCGGTCCCGCGTACATGCACACACAGCACCGCGTTCACCGTCGTCGTCGCGTGTATGGGATGCGCTTACGTAACCCGTTCCAAAGACACGTGCATCGGACACGGACGAGTAGCGTGCACTCCTCCTCGCCTGCCCGCTTATGCGCTCTTTCGCATAACGATATATTATTTATATAAGCGGAGCTGTCCGGGCAAATCGTTCTACTCTTGCAAATTACCAGCGTATACCGCTAACGCGAATAATAGACCTCGTTCGCATCGAAATTTTCCAAAACTAACTTCAATTCCCTCGTCTCGACTGTTTTTTCCACATCTGACTCATTGAATTCTGGAGTTCAAACAAATCGTGCCGCGTGTCCCTCTCCTCGTCTACAAGCATTGACTTTTTTTTTTTTTATCGTTGTTTCAGTTTGTTAATTGATCAATATTGGATATGATTTTATTGCATCTGTTCGTATCCTATAAATTGCATCAGCTTCTGCAGGTGCAGAAGATTCGGAAACGCTGTTAACAAACTAAAATTGCATAATCGAAGACAATGTCTCGCAATCAGTTTCGATTAACCCGTTGATGTCCGGTCTTGTACCTCGCGTTTAACACGCAGTATTAATGTAAATTATCTTACTGATTCATTCGATCGACAATCTGACATCCTCGGACATTCTAAATAATATAAATACTAGCAGCACAATTTCATAATTTATCATCTGTTATATGATTTATCGTGTCGTTCCAATTATATGGAATTGACACGATCTTCGATGACGCACTAGTCAGACTTTTTGATAGACAGCAATCGTTTGAAAATATTGTTCAGGATTCATCGTACGATTCGTTATGTGATCCATTACATGGTTACAACGTGATGTGCAATCGAGATGATCCTCGATGGTGCACTGGCCGGGCTTTTCGCTAGACAGCGATCGGTCGTAAAAGTTGTGTAAATTTTTTAAAGAAGGAAAGAGTTTCGCGATCGTTGATGGAGAGCCGCGAAGCGGATCGCGAGCGCATTCCCCCACGGCTGTCCCTTTGCCGGAAGTGTTCGACCTCGCGCGTCGTAACGTTATTTTCTGATTTCCCATTCATGGTCTACCGTTTAGTTTCGATTTGCCGCTTCGTTACGACGCCCGGAGATTTACACGGCCAGATAGGATTGTTGCGGGGCGAACGTTCGCCCCGCGTCTCCTCTTTCGTTTCGAATACCCTCTTCCCATCCACTGCATCCTCCTTGCACCGCCTACCGGTAACCCACACCTCCCATCTTTTATATAACTGTCTTTCGTCACCGGCCGCGATCTCTCCCGGATATCTCGCCCCGAAATCGCTTTTTTTCTTCTTCCATCCTGATCTTTCCCGATAAGCGCGCGGCTAGTTTGCATTTAAGACGAGGCGGGATGAAACGGCAGTAAAAAATCGATGATAACTTTTCCATTAAAAACGATCGTAAGAAACAATTAAATTCAATCGTTTTATGAACGCGTTAAGGATGTATTGGCTATACAATCAATCCTAAAAGTTTATGCACTTTAGAAACACATTTTTTAAAAAGAAATCAGACGTCGGAAGAACATTGCTGATAATAAACAACAAAAAAAAATTTTCGATTTTTCCGAGATTTTTCCAAGGGGTACCCCTTCAATTTCTTCCAAATTTTCGTTTTTGGTCAATAACTCCCAAAC